TTTAGGTAAGTAACAATTTATGTGATAGGACAGACAAAGGAAAACAAACTACATGGGGTATGTTGGATGTGGGATCAAAATAAATACATAATTAATTAAGAAATTAATAATTTAACAAATGAATAGATGTGTACATCAAAAGATGTAATTGGTCACAATAGATTGTGTAAATTATCTAGTTGGAAATCCAAAGGAATCACTGCTAAACTCAAAAACTGTGAACATCTAAAGTACATCTAGAATGTCTTCAGTGTTTAGAACAATCCCATGAGATTAGGATGTGACAAGATACCACTAGCTAATCAGCATCATTGTATACGGTTACAATTTCTCATGCTGACTGTCTCATTTTTCCTCCACACAATGGCCCGATATATACTGGAGACGGATCTTCCGTCCAGACAGATCATCTGTCTAGTATAAATACATGAACGACTATGAGACGAAGTATGGGTGTGTCATGTGACTCGTCCTGTGTTTTAAACTGGACGAGTTTTCTGAACGGATTTCCGAGAAAGCACAATGAAAAGGCTTGGGCCCTAGTCAAATGTTTTAGAGCGGCATTGACTTGTCCACCATCTTGAATTGATAGTTTATTGAAAACAACCGCTGGCTTCTTGTAACGAGGTGTAGTTTTCGTGGATAGTTCATCTTCTTCCCGCATTTGTACACACCGACGGATCATCCGTCTTGACGAGTTATCCACAATAATTCATCTGACAAGACAGACTATCGCAATAGCTCGTCTGTATGGATGATCCAACTGGTTGCGCGTGTTTATACACAGACAGATTATCAGACGAGCTACTGTTCCTTGCCCAAGCTCGTCCAAGATGGATGATCCGTCTCTAGTATAAATCGGGCCAATCACATTCTAGAAATAATTCGGCTGTTCACAGCTTTCTGAGTTTCACAATAAATTATGAATTAACATGTTTATAATGAACACTAGTCCAACAAAGCCACTATGCCTTTCTTTTATGTTAGGATTCCAAGATGATTCCCATGAAAATATCAGCCACCTTACTGCTACTGAAAATTGTTTGGACCAGAGCGTTCTGTAAAATCTTGGGAAATCTGTGCTAACTTAACTTATAATGTGGAATAAGCCAATAGAGATTTAAACCTTCTGATATTTGAACCTGATTACTCTGTTGTTATTTCAGTAATGTGGATTATGGAAGTGTTCAAAAATTAAAGAAAATGGTGACTTCAAAATGCAAAAAATGATAAATATGCAGAGCTGGATGGCCCTGAAGAGATTTCAATGAAATAAAGTGTGTTGCCACATTATTTATACAGCTATTTGCAGAAAGGTTGTCATAAAAGGGACAAAGCGCATGCAACAATCTCAAAAGCTAATCTGGGTATTTGTGTAACCAATAAATTTTAATAAATGGAACAATTAAACATGGACAAAAGGACTATTGAACAGGGGATAAATACCCACATGCATGCGAAGATGAGAGAAACAATAGAATTTTACATCATAACCATTCCTTCTTTAGGTCACTTTGAATTTGCTCTTTTTGTTGCTAAGGTCAGTTCGTTCTTCTTCTGTTTTTCATCAAGTTTAGAATTAAAATACAGTTTGCGAACAAAATAAATTCATCCAACCCACTATGTCTAAGTCTCTTCCTTACAGAGATGTTTTCTTTTAAGTTTCCTAAAATCTTGAGGTCAAGGAACCCTGACCTGAAATCTACCCACAATTCCTTACAGAGTTGTCAATGTCAGGAGCACTTTTGTTTTTTCAACAACCTTTCTGCAAACAACTGTATTTGATTGACCTTGAGTGTGGGTAACCCTTAGTTTCTAGAATATGAAAAAAAAATGTAAGTTACCCTCTCCCCACAACACATCGCTTTTAAGTGATTAGATATCTACTCCTATTTCAAAAGTGACAAATCATTGCCACAAGCATCCCCAGGGGTTGGGGAGGGGAGATTGCCATACAGAATAACAATAATGCTTGTCCTCCAGCGTATCCAAGTATTTTGGTATTCTTTAGGCTGTGTGGGATGAGACTATTTATCTGTTTGGTGATCAAAATAGCTGAAGAGAGTTTCAAGTAAAGAAATTGAAAAAGAAATGCCATCATTCGACATTTTTGGAAGTCAGCCAGAATGGATGGCATTGTTCTCTTCTTTAGAAATTGTACAATAAATTGTCAAAAGATGCAGAGATAGCTGACAGAGCTGAATAACGTATACGCATGCACCAGGTTTTGCCGTAGAAACATGGATTTTGAGTTGTTCGCATGGTTGATTTCCTATTCTGTTGCTTCAGGCGTCGTTTTCCTTGCCGCTTTTCATTTACAGGACAACCTCCAAAAAATTTGGTGCACCCCCTAAAAATTTTAAAAAATTAATTTTCTCCTTTATTAAACCTTTGGAAATAGGAAAGTGCCCTTCGACGAAAACAGAGTTCCTCGGTTTTAAAGGTCAGCCCTTATTATTTTCCGCTAATTTCGCTAAATTTTAGACCCAGGACACTTGAGCCCGCGTTGTTGACCGCATACCCGCTGACGTAGCATTTCATCATTCAGCTCCGTCGAGATAGCCCCAGTTATTTATTTGCACCCTGGGAGCAACACTTCAGAGTTGAGAAATAGATCTTTCATACGCTACAGACTGGCATCCCATCCAGGAAGGAGTTGCAATACTCTTAGTTGCTCCATGTTAAGGCAATCGGATGGCATATACCCTGGGTGTACAGATGTAAAAAGGCTGATAGTTTCGAAAGAAACTGTTTGGGACTGCGTCGGTGGGAGTAACGAAATAACTTAGATATATCATCAAAGTTGAAGTGGTAAATTGGCCACCGTAACGATTACAAAAGCTGACGTTTCTAGCGTTAGCCCTTCGTCGGAGCGAATAGATGTAACCTTACCTTATCTTAACACCGCAATAAATATTTATAAGAAATACGCAATCTCGCTTTCAAGAGAAGCCCAGCGCGGTATCTGGGGTATTTCTTCAACGCATTACCAAGTATATGTTTAAATGGATTTAAATCATCCCTGGCCACTTTTAGGAATTCTTCTCGTCTTGGTTTGTAGATAAGAGTTGACACCTCATAGAAATGTCTTTGTACTTTGTATTTAAATTGTATCTCAAAGGGAAAGTATTGTGTGACACAGCATCCAACTACGCACCTCATTCCTTGTAGCTTATCGGGGCTAGTTGAATTTTACTCGATTGTTTGTTGTTGTATACTGAAGCTGTAGCGCACTTTGAACAACAACAGTTTCCAGAAACAGGGAACCAAAGTACCACAATGGAGCATAATCAAAAGTAATCAATCCCATTATATGGAAATATGTATACTCAGTGTAATCCCAAGGACAAGCATTGAACTGCCGCAAAATCAGACCGGTAGAAAACTCCCAAGCATACGTCCATAGAACGTAGATAAAACCACGCACTGCCATGTTAGTCTTGTCATTCAGGGACAGGTACATTCGCTCAACAACATAGGACGAAACTGCATAAATGGGAAAGCTCCAAACCGATGTACAACCATGAAGTTTCCAACCGTGCCGGTACTTCGCTGAGTCAATAAAGTACCATGTTGCAGTGAACATAACCTCGGCGAAAAAACCACATAGGCCGTACAGAATCAGTCGTGAAGCTAGTGGCAGACAGCCTCTTTCACCTTGACCTTTCTTGTTAGCGTTCATAGTTTTTATTGTGTTTTTTTTTTTCTCAGAAACGCTGGAGGTTTAAGGTATAACGTGTCATCTCATCTGTCATCATGTTATATGGCAGGCTCGGGTTTTTTCAGCGGCACACTCCTACCCAGGATCTCTCACCGATTCGAATTTCAAGATGGAGGACACGTTGTGGGGAAAAGCGTCGATCAATCACAAGTAACAATTGCCATCGAAGATCATGAAGAAGCCAAAGAAGGTGTACAAGCAGAAATTGATTTTAAGTGAAGGCAAAGAACTGAAGTTAAAGAGTGAGTGATTGTTACCTTTCAAGGAGATCTGATTAGCACGCCTTGCTTATGAGCTCAGTCATAAAAACCTTCCACTGAAAAGCGATCGAAATTGTAACTGGACGCGTTTTAAATGTCGTGACTTGTGAAAAAAGAAATAAAAGAGCCGTATTGTTCAGATCGACACAGTCCGAATAAATCGATGCGATCAAACTTGTTCTTTAAATTTTGTTTAATTTGTCTTGACGTCTTCTCTTTCCGATGTAATTGAAAATGAGGGAATTGGAATCAGCCGATCAAGGGGAAAGGGGGATTAGCCAATCAAAATAATTTTTCACAGACCCATGGAACAGCGTCGATCTTAGAAAAGGAACATTTTTGTAGGTGTACTGTAGTCAAATATTGTCATATATAATGTCACAGTTTCTGAATAGGGATTGAGTTTGCTTTCAAACAAAGCTTGTCACAGAGAAAATAGCTGTATGGCTCTTGCATTTATTTTTTAGGAATTTGCAAATCTGCTGATGAGGTTGAAGTACCAAAACTTTTGTTACAGTGCCTGGAAGAAGATGATACCACACTACATTGTGCTTTGTTAAAAAAGGTTTTCCTTTTCTTTCTTTTTTTTTCCTTTTTTCTTTTTTAATGCTGCAGTGTACTTTAAGTGACAATTAATGAAAAAATGTTGTTAGATATTCTTACTAAGTGTACCACACTTTGTTTTTAAAGGCTGGTACTATATTTCCAGATGAAAGCAAAACCAAGCTGTCATCTGATGAGGCTCACACATGTCTTGCAACCCTGGCTGAATTTTATGTAACATGCAATGCAAAAAATCCTTCAAAGAAAATTATTTCAAGGTATTTGGATTGGGAACTGTCAATTCATAAAATTATGCACATTCTTACTTTTAGCATCAGCAGATAAGTGACTTTTTTTTTAACCTAATAGATGTGACAGCATTCTTGGCAACCATTTTAGTATTGTGTTGCATAAAAACATAGAAATTCAATCTTGCTATTTCACAAGACAAAAAACCCTATCAAACTGAAAATTTGTGAAAAGATAAGTCTTCGGTTGTTCTAATAACTGACTAAACTAAAATTGCAAAAGGATCAATAATTCCTGAATTTTCAATTTTGATGTTGTTGCATGAAAACCAAGAATAAACGTTGTCAGGTACATTTAAATTTTTAAAAAAATTACAACTTTACTCGTCAAAAATTAATGCCATTATTTAAGGTGAAGTAGTTGCATAATATTTCATACCTCTATAATTTTATTACAAAATAATGCCATAGCTGAGTATGAAAAGTTAATGATATTTTTAATGTTGCAGTGTCTTTGATAGTTTACCACAAGGTTTGCCTTCTGCAGTTCTTAGCTCAGTGGTTGTAGAGAGGATAAGTCATGCAAGAGATGTCTTAATGCTGGTATGTGTTTAGATGTTGAAGCTTGAAACATTTATTTAGCGATGGATGTGGTTATGAATGATTTACTTTGTTGAATTAAAGTCAGAAGTTCTTTATTTGTGGACTCCATGAAATGCCTTTAAAACCCTTTCACTCCCAAGATATCTCAATAGTGATTTTCCATACTATATGCTATATAATTCTTTAGATGTTAGTTCAGGGAATTTAGTATTGGATCAACTAGTAATCCCCTTTTTGATATTTTTCTTTATTTTTTTTGTGGAAAACTGTGTTTTGAAGCTAGTCGAGCAGATTTCAGGTCACTGTTGTGGTTTTAAAAGCTCAAACTTACCAAAAACCCCTTGACAGCTCCAACACTCGACGGCCTTTCGATCCAAATGCAAAATGGCGGCCTGAAAATCTCGGGCACGTGCAGAAAGCAAAATTTCGACATTTTTGGCTTGAAAAGTAATGCCCCACTTATGACTTTTACTTTTCTCTCTTTCTCCTTCCCTTTCTTTTCCCCTCTCCTTGCCTGAAGTTTCTCCTCACTTGCTGGAATTTAGTAGGCTTCATTTTGGTGTAGAGATTTTTCAGAAACTACTCATTATTTTCAAACCACATGCTCAGAAAGGTAGGTGGGTGATGGAACAAGATTTTCGTGCAGATTTTCAGGTCAAAGTTACATGGTTTTTTTGGCTATTTCTCCAATCTCCTTCACTCAATTGCGCTCATTCTGGTATCATTTGTAAGACATTTTCAACCTGTTCAAGTACATGCTCAAATTTGTGCTCCAGGGGTAAAAGTGATGACGTCACAAGGCGTAGAAAGGGTGTGGGTCCCCATGGGCGTATACAGGCACACTGGATGTCAATAGGTTAATGTTGTAAAGAGAAATTCTGTCTTGATCACTCACAAGATTTAAAGGGTTAACAGGGAATGAATTTACTCCTGAGGTAGTGTATCTGTCTAAATGTTGCATGTCTCATATTCTGGTGTTCCAGGTTCTCTTGCTTCTAGTTTAGCATGAAGACTTGCTCCCAGCTCAGTAAACTCTCAAACTCATAAGTTCTGAAAACTGTAATACTATGTAATTCTTTCATCTGGTGACCATACCTTTCTTTATGGACTTGTCCCTCAATTGACTATCTTTCTTATTCTCAGGTAAGTGAGGTGAGAATGTTGTGAGTTCATTTGGTTGGTTTTTTTTTGTATTTACTGATTTTTGTCATCAATTCATTCCTCAGGGTGAAGATGTAAATATTAGACATTATATAGATATGTTAGCTGATATGTTGGATTCGTTTACTCTTGGTGAGTGAATTTCTTTCACAGTTTCACTGAGAAATATAGAAAGGGGGATTATGGATTATATATTCAGAGTGGCCAAGAGGTAAGGGAGCTGTAACTTGTAATCTGGTGTGCCTGGGTTTTACCCCTCCCTACTACTCACTGGATGTTTTCTTGGTTGCCCCAAGTTCAGCTCCTAGACTGGGGTTTGTTTGTAGTCAAATGGTCTGCTTGCTGACAGTTGGGATTAAAAAAAAAACACTATGTTAATTAGCATTGTTTGTTTCCAATTTGTCTGTACTGGCCCCTGAAAAGCCACATTGGGGAGTTGCCAACTACTTATACATTACATTACAATATAACTTGGGCCATCAAAATTTAGTCAGAGAATCATGGGTAATAGCCACGGAATTCTCCAATCTCAGATGCCTTCTTAATACCTTGTTATTGGCTGTACCAGTATAGAACAGTTGGAGCTTTCAATCTTGGAAAAAAAATTCACCGTAATTATCACAACACAATCATACACTTTAAATTAACTAATTAGTGATTCTGTCACAAATATTTACTGTTTAAATTAGAGGCAATTTTTTAAGGTGGCATTCCTAAAAGTGATTTTTAGTTAAGAATAATATGCCTTTTAATTAAAGAATTTTCAATTTTGTCTCATTTTGTTTTTACAGGAGCTGATGTACTCCTTAACAATGGTTATTTGGGTAAATATGAGATGTGAAAGGGTGGTGTACAAAACCTTTGAAACTAAACAGAAGCTAGCAATACAGTAAAAGGCTATTAATAATAATTATGATAATGCACTGGCAATAACTATAGATGTTAAATCTCTTCATTGCCGGTGTTTAAATTGTTTAGAGATAAAAAAAATGACTTTTTTAACTTCTCCATTCCCAGTAGTGGATTGAAACTTTAATTATAGAAGATCAATCATTTATTGTAGATATAGATCAACCATGAGCATAGCATTATAAAAGGTGAAGCCCTAAAGAATGTCTTTTGAATGGATTATTAACTAAAGTTAACAGTTATTTCTTATTGTTCTGTTATTTCAGTTTTCAAATTTCTTGGTGTGTGTTTAAAAGAGCAGTGGAAAGTTGCTAAGTAAGTGAGGGTCCATCCTAATGTTTATGGGTCACTGAAACACTAGCTTTCCCTTTTGGAAAAGGAAAGAAGAGAAAAAGAACAGAAAGAAAGAAAACAAGTCAATTGATTAAAAGTGAATTATTTTACATTTTGTGTGCAAGTTTAATACAACAAAATTGACTATATTTCTTTACTACTCTTTTTTTTCCCCAGAGCTGAATCATCTCCAGCTTTGCAAACTTCTCTAATGATGGACTGTTTAGCGGTCATAAAGACGATAATTTCTTTTCTTCAGAAATCCAGTTCTGAACCAAATATGTGTAACTTGTTTGACCAGCTGGGCTTGTTATATATTGAAAAAGAAGATACTGGTCATAGCAGCCATAAAGACTTAAATCTGAGTCTGGGCATAGGAAAATTGTGTGGTAGCAGTTACACAGATGTTTCAGAAACTGTGAAGCGATGGAATGATTTGATGACAGAAGTATTGGTAGACCTTTGTGGTATTTTGTTTGATGGTATGTGACTTGTTCTATCTGATCATTTTATACACAAGCTTTTTTCAGCAGGCTGATCTGCATTAAACAATTACATACAGTGCATTAACTTTGATATGTGAAGATATAATTGTTGCTGATATAAAGACAATATGACAGAGACTCCTTGTTCTTACATTTCAGATCAGTTTTTCCTTGATTGTCAATTAACTGCTGGACTGGCCATTCTTGCTGTTATCAAAGTGATGTGTCCAGTGCAAAATGTTGTATCAACAGTAGGTATTTTTTATTAATTCTTCCTTGTTATGTGTCACATGTCATGACTGTACCAGGTGCTGGTGACAGTTGATGTTGGGCCAAGATTGCAGCTTCCACCTTTTTTGACTCAGCATCGTGGAATTTTTTTACCTCTTTTTTTTTTCAGCAGTACTTTTAGTAAAATTACATACCTATTAGTCAGTTTTCCATTTAATCAAATTCCTTTATAAAATATTCCTCAAAAAGATATTTGTTGAGTTGATTAATTGATTTGTTTCTTCATTGTGTGATTGACTCTATAAACAGATTGGAAAGGTTATTTTCCCCTCTCAAGCCAAATCTGGACACCTACCTATATCACCCATAAGTGATCCAAAAATCGTTTCCATCTTTCAAGACTCCCCAGGTTAGTATTCTCTTGTTAATAAGTAATATCTTAACCCAAAGTGTTATGTCAGCTCAACCAGAGTAAGATATCAATTTTAGAGTTATTTACTGGTAAGCAAATAGTAATAAAAAATAATTTGATATTGACTGATCAAAAAGTTATGTTTGATTTTATTTTAGATATTAGGTAAACCAGTATATACTTTTTCCATTCTGGATGTTGATTGCTATAATTTTCAATTAATTGTTACTAGGAATAACCAGTTTTTCTCACCTGTGTCTTTGCCGTGGGGTTTTGGCTATAATTCCCCTTCACATGTTGGTTGAGCCTTCAGAGGTACAATTATTGAATTAAGCGTAAACTATATATCACTTCAATCTGAATTTCTATACAGTGATTTTGATTTTATGTCATGCTGCATCTTAAGGTTTTGTGTTTGTGTAGCCGCAGCTGTCAGAGCCTGTTAAACTTTAAAAATGACAAGCCTGTAGCCTCTGAATTTCTCCTACAGCTCTTGAACAGGATTACTGATGAATCCTATTGGCTCAAAACTTTTCATCTTTCGTATTCTTTTTACAAAGGTCATATTAGATAGTCAAAGTAAGCATGGAACTCTGATGTTTGATGCATTGTTTCCGGACTTGTGTTCTCTTTGTGACAGGTATCGTGATCTGTTTATTACTTCCAATGTGAAATAGGAAAAAAGATTTGATTTAATGGTTTATTAATTCATGCACTTGTTATGCAATGTTATTGTGTGAACTAACAAGATTCCAGCCACAACCTTGTATCTTTTTTCCTTATTTTTTCTTCAGTCTATAACTATGATACATGTTGACTAAGTGTTGCATTAAACTTTTACAACTTTTTGTGCACGTTCTCCAGAGAAGATTATTGTCAGTGATAGAATTGTCAACTTCAGGAATTCTGATATCTGAAGATGTTGATTATTGGATCATGTCTTTACCCTCCCTCCCCTTAAATTTGTTTCCTGACTTCTTCAGCACACATGATCCCAAATCTTAAAAAGAAAAAAAAAATTATTATAAGAATAACAAAGATCATTGCCCAGAAAATACAAATGTTTTAGGAACTGGATAGGAGATTTGTTCTGTATCTCCAAGAATCCTGTATGATATAGGAGAGTTGGTAATTACTTGTTTTAATACACTGTTTTTATACCACCAGCCTTAAAGAATGTAATACATCCATTATAGCCTTTCGCACTCTGACTCTGTGGGCAAATCAAGCCAGGTGAGAAACCAATGCCTCAGATTACATTTTGAAGTAACTGGGAGGCTTCATTGATTTATCTAATTACAAACTCAGATATAAATGTTGACAGAGGAAGAGTGGGTAGGAGTGAAATTTTATGTTTATCTTTTATGAGTGTGAGTTTTTCTGTTGATGTTTTTGGAACATATTGGTTATCAATTTGCTATGTGTAGCCTGGCTTTTCATGTCATGCTCATAATTTGCTATCTCCTTTTTAGGCAAATAGCTACTAGTAATCACTGTAATGGTTCCTGGCTCAAAGAAAAGTTATATGGCACATCTCCAATTCCAACCAAGCTTCTGACCTATGTCTGGACCCATTGGGATCACCCAGTTGAGGTGAATCAAGCTGTTTTGAGTTTCCACTTACTCCATGGTTATTACTATCATTATCATTATAATAATGTTGAGCAGATGTCGGAACACTTGGTATTAATACCACTTTTATTTTTCAGGGAGTGCGATATCAAACCAAAGCAATATGTGAACATGTTGTGAATCTACATTTAATCGTTGGACAGGCTGGTACAACATTTTATAGTAAATTTATAGGATAGTTTCATCTAATAGGTACATTCTGGAACGTTACTGTAATGCTGCCATATTAACTTCCTGTTTAGAAAGTAGTCTTCAGTAATTAAATAGCACAAGAACATCCATACTAGCCCTGGTGATATCTATTCCACATATTTTGAGGCCAGCCAAACATGCCAAACTGAGGAGTTAGTGTTATATCATAGTTAAAGATATGATCATAAATCCATATTTAGCGGTCTAGCCTATAGGGGTCGTAGCCTTCATCAGAAACATAAGGATGCATTTTGCCTTTTTTTTTTTTTATATAGAAGTCCATATATAATTCATATGTACATATACTCTCTTGCAAATTGCCTCTTACCAAGATTAATCTGAGCTATGATAAATAGTATTTTGTTCAATTTGATCAAGATTCCTCCAAAGAAGACTTCTTACAGGACCTGGCAGCCTCTCTCCTGAATGTCAGCTGGCATGTACGGGGAAAATATGGCCCTCTGTGTTGTATTACATCTGTTGTGGGAGCCACAAAGATGCTGAGATGGTTTCCCAGCATCCCTCAGGATATGTTTCCATTAATGAGTGACAGGAACCTTGCACCTCATGTGAGTGGTGTTGTAAATTATTCTGACTATTGTTATTTATATCCCTTGAGCTTTAATTTTGAAGTTCTGTTGAACTTAACAATTAGTTAGGAACAAAGTTGGTGTCAAATTTTTCAATCTGCATGTTTAGTGAAGCTCTTAGAAAAATCTTTTATTTACATGGTTAATAAAATTGTTACCTCAAGATGTTAAGGCAACAGTAACCCCATTTCCCAAAGTGTTTTAAATCCATTGATGAATTTTGATTTCAGGCAATGGATTTCATTGAGCAAATGACTGTTTCACACAAGAAGGAAATTTTAGAGAGTGGGGAAGACATTAAAGGATGGATGAAGGTATTTTTTTCTTTCAATGTATAAAATAGGATTATACTCAGTTTTTTTAATCTTGCTGCTTACTCCCTGCAATTTCATTTTTTTGTCCCTAGATTTGGATTGTTCCATTTCTCAATTTTATTCACTGTGGTTGCAGACTTCTAAGAGAAAACCTGGCTCAGGTTAGTATTGAGCGAATGCTTTCCAATCTTATTCTGTAAATATGCTTGAAACTCTACTAAATTAATGGGTTTGGTGCATTTTAAGCAGTACTCTAGGTATTTTTTTTTTTTTGCAGGCCACCATCTAAGCTCTCATAAGTGGCTTTTTATTTCATGATCGAACCATCTTTAAAAAAGACAAATTTGTTTTATAGTTTTGTCTCCCAAAGTTACTGAAGTGCTGTCCTGAAAGCTTACAATTTCTTGTTCAGTATCTTCAAGACAACAACGGTAAGAATCTTGTTTGTTCTCCTAAAGCCTAATTTTTTTAAAATGCTTGGGAGTAAAGGTAGACCTTTGAATTACACACTTTGTTTTTTTGTTCTGAATTTCTAGAGCTGAAAGAAAGCAACTTAGGGACCTTGGTTACCTGTTTGAAAATTGCCCGTTCACTGGGTCTTATGGATTTTTATAAAATGGGCCAAGAAAATTTTTTTAATAAACCTGCTTCATTGTGGTGTGGGGTTGTTCCAGAACAGCTCATGAGGAAAGCGCTGTGTCATTTAGATGATCAGGTATGTCATGATCATGAAATGGTCATTCATCTGTATACAGTTGACTCATTAAAGAGTTTTGATCAGAGGACACTCTTTACCTAAATAAGAATTTCAGCTCTGGTTACTCTTCCATTTTTAAGCTAAATTTGATTTGAAGTTGCATCACTTCTCACTGTCCATTGAACATAAAGCTCTTTAAATCATTGACCAGATTCGTCTTGATGCCCTGGGACTAGTCTGCGATTCTCCACGCGCAACAGAGTTGATTACAGAGCTGGATTTACAACTACTACAGCTCTTTATACCACACAATATGAACAACCAGGCACCTTCCTTCAGACAACAAGCTGCAACACACCTAAAAAGGGTCAGTGATTCGTATGTTCTGAAAATCTATTCATTAAGCTTTCCATTTCTTGGACTGGATTGATCATAGAAATAATATTATGGAATCAGAATTACATTAGGCTCACGATAACAGACTGCTGTTTACGAAATGAGTGTGATGTATCTGAAACTAGTTTAAAGTAAGTCAATAACAGTGACAGATTTTTATTTTACTGAGTAATCATAACATGTGTGCACCACTTTTTCTATTAGTTGCTAACGAGACTAAAGGAGTGCATCAGGATATCTAGCAAGGCTGCTAAAAAGAAGAAAGATAGCAGTGAGAAGCAGTTTTCTGAGCATCAACTCACTTTGTACAGGGTAATGATCTTTGTTATGTCTCCATGTTATGATCATTTCTCATCATACATGTATACAACAGTGCAGATTGCATAATTAATATGTTTGCATTTTTTTCAGACATTTCTGCAGTGGTTTTGTGCTTATCAGTTTGATTCAATGTTCCCAAGTGCATCATTCACACGTCGCACAACAGCTTTGAGCAATTTAATGCTCATCAAGGACATTTTTCGTTTTGAAGAAAATGATGGTATGTTCAGACAGCTGCTTTTAGTTAGAATGATAAATGACTCCTTGAAAAATTTAGTGGTTATCAACCTCATACTAACAATAAAGGCTGATAGTTTATAAAGAAACTATCCTATTTGCTCCGACGAAGAGCTAACGCTTGAAACGTCAGCTTTTATAATTGTAAAGGTGGCCAATTTATTACAATGACAACAATAAATACAGGTTTTATCTCTGAAAATCATAGACTGAAGTGATTTGTGCACAATTATTCTGGCAATACTGGTGTGAGTTAACATCCTGTTTTGGATCTGCAGATTCTACAATTTTTAATATGAGTGAGGTGATGAGCCAGGATAATATACATATTCTTCTGGATTGTCTGAGTGATTCCTATCAAATCAACAAGACAATGGCTTATGACTTACTTATGGAATCTCCCACCAAGCAGCTTCCATTTCAGGTTTGTTTGTATTCACCCCAATGAAGCTTTTCACTTGGCTGTGATTGGATTTTTAAAGTGTATTTCCCTAGCAGTTTGCCATCACTTGACTCTCCTGTTGTTGTGTTTTTGTTCTTGTGCTTTCATGCATCAGGAATTTCTATTCCACCCTCCCAATTGATATTTTTGGGGTGAGGTCTTGCATGAAGTGCTTCTAAAATCCTGTATTTGTAACAACCCACGCCTCTTTTACTCCCCTTCCCGATTGTAAACCGCTGAAACCTCGTGTGTGTGTGTGTGTGTATGTGTGTGTGTGTGTGTGTGTGTGTGTGTGTGTGTGTGTGTGTGTGCATGTGCGTGTGTGTAAAAAGTCCGGTGTAATTCTAACCTGTAGATTTCTTATTTCCTCCAGGAAGAAAAGTCTTTGCTTGCTTGGCTAAGCATGATTGACCAGTTGGTTTCCAGTCCTCGTGCAATAGATGCTTCTACTGCTTCAACCTTTCTTACCTTACTGGTGGAGAAGTGTGAATTACCGCTGAAATTTGTTAAGTCTGAGACTGAACAAGAGTGTCTTGTGTCAGAATCCACTGCACCATGTCCACAAGCCCTGAGGGTGGTAAAGTATCTAACAAGTTTGCTCCAGTCACATCGCTCAGCTGCTTCAAAGAACTTGTATTTGACTGGTGCCCAGGCTCCTATGCATGGTGTTCTTCACTGTCTCAGGGCAGTCCTGGGTTATGTCTCCTTAAGGTAAGGTTACAATACCTTCCAACTTATGAGAAAAATTATCTGGCGCAGGTGTTTAATGTGGTTGTTTAACTCGACTAGTCCTCACTTAATAAAAGTAAAATTAAAACAAGACTAATCGTGTATAGTGCCATCACTTGGTTTATGGACACTCACCTATACACACTAAACTTTTCATTAACTGTGAGACCGAAATATTTTGTTTGACTTTTCTTTTTATTTTAGCTCTGTTTCAGATGATAAACAGTGGCAGAGTCTTCTCACAAATCTCATAGAGGAGTGTATTTGTACCGCGGACATTGTTTCTCCTGTTGTTACGAGTTCCTCACCTGAAGGATTCATGATTTACGATAGTGGAGGTAAATATGAAATTTTTTTAAACTGTTTTATACTGTTTGCAAGGAATGTTATTCCTTATAGACAGGTTAACCACCATCTCGCTAAAATGGATGGTGGATGTTAGGGGTATCCCGGAGCTTCCACTACCTCTTGCTAGCCCCCAGGTAGAGTACCATCCCATGGCTGGCACATCCACGTAACATACCCGCGAGCCTCCATTTCACCTGTCAACACTGATTAGATCAAGTGGAGGGAAGAAAGGGGGTGTGGTGGAGAGTTGAACACTTCCAAAAAAGTCAAATCTGCTTAGGACTAAACTGTACTAAACTGCTCAAGAACTTTTAAAAGATTCAGCCGTTATGAAGTACCAGTGTTCCATGTGAACCTGAAGTTATGAGATTGACTACTGACTGAAAGAGCGGCCTCTAAGCCTCAAAAATGGTTCAAGATATCCAGTAAAAAACCGCTGTGATATGGACACAGTTCAAGCTTGATATATATGGGTGTTGGGATAATGGAACTACACCATAGAAAAATCATAATTGTGTTATTCAGTAGTAATCTCGTGTCATTTCAGACAGCGTAAATCAGATCCCTCAACAGTCAGTCTTGGAAGAAAGTCACATAAAAGCCCCTGCATCTCAGATTCTTTTGGTCTGTTGCTGGAGAACTATGAAGGAGGTGGCATTGTTGTTGGGAGAGCTTGTTGAAAATGCTCCTTTGTATCTTGAAAATAGTAAACATGGTTTGATACCTAAAAAACAGGTACTTTAACAAATGAAAAATTGAGTAAACGTAGTTTGGATTTGTTTTGTTTCATCGTACTAAATTCTGGAATTCTATCAAAGAGGAATTTGAATTTGATAGTCGTATTTGTTTGAAGAATCCCCTAAAATAATCCAGGTTGTATAGCTTTTGATTTGTACATCGATGTTTTTGAAATTGAAGTGAATGAATGCATGCACAGCTCTATCCCAATTTTTTTCTTTTTTTCTTTGTTTGTGTTAAATGCGTGCATTTCCTATTTCTTCTGCATTTTAAACTTAATTTTAACGCAGGCGTTTGATTCGAAATGCAAACGCTTTTCGTAAGTAGGTGTATCGACGTAGTACAGTATTCGCCCACTCACACTGTTCGGTGCTTTTGAAAGTGAGCTTAGTCGAACATCAGAACTATCAGGATTTTAACTTCACAGGGGGTCTCTGTAAAATGCGGACCGGATTAGATGCGGATCGCGGATGCGGATAGAAAAATGCGGATGAAAAATTGCGGATGGAAAAATGCGGATAGAAAAAAATCGGTTGCAAAAAAAAAACAACAACAACATTAAACATGTCATTACAGTAAAAGAGGGGTTGACAGGCCCACACGATCCCCCAGTGCGTGTTTAGAATAGCCTATTCAAAGTTTGGCCCTCACGAGTTTGTCTTTGAGCGGTCGCCTTCTTTTGTAAGATATGAGCGGCGAATTTTTGTATAATTCGCTCAGTACTGGTTGTGTTTCTATTAAATGCCAGTGTCTCATCAGAATTTGCTTTAGGTTTGGCACTGATGGTTGGTATTGTGTAACAAAAGGCAAGATTCGTTGGTTCGTCTTCGGTGTCTGTTGAAGAGCTAGTTTCCTGTTTTTGAAATTCACTTCTGAGAAGGTTGTGTTAATGAGGTCCTCTGGGTAGCCTCTCTTTAGCAAATGTGCTTTGAAATTTGCAATTTTCTCGAATATTTTTTGAGAGGAGTTTGTTCTGAGAAGTCTTAGGGCCTCTCCTTTTATGAAGCCTTTTTTAACTCCTTGTGGGTGACAGGAACTATATTGTGTATACTGAAATGTCTCAGTTTGTTTAAAATGAGTGTGCACATAAAGGATTGCATCCTTTTCGAATCGTTCGCCTTTGTAGATGTAGGTGGCCAGGAATGTTGTTTCCTTATCGGAAATTTCAGCCGTAAATTTTTTTGTTGGGTGATGATTGTTTGCTTTTTCAATGAAACGTTCTACTGTTGCTTTGTTTGTACTCCAGAACGAGAAGATGATGTCTTTGTAACGTTTCCAAACAAGCGGTTTTAAAAGGCTTTTGTCAAGGACTTCTGTCTCTACCTTGTTCATGAAAATTTTAGAAAAGGCGACTGCCATTTTCGTGCCCATGGTCGTACCATGTGTTTGAAGGCAGTGCTTTTCCATTAAAATGGAACGAATTTTCCTGGAGAATTAGCCTAAGCACTGGTTTTAGTACTTGTGTAGGGATAGGAGTTCCGTTTCTGTAGAATATTTCGTATGCTTTGCATACAGTGTCTATTCCCTCCTCTTGTGGTATATTTGTATATAAGCTCGTAACGTCCATTGAAACAAGTATTACGTTCTCCGGGACTTTCGTATTTTCTATGAAATTGACGAGGTCTGTAGTATCCTTTAGATACGACTTTTGTTTTTGTGCTATAGCGGGGATTCGGCATAGCGGGGTTCGACTGTAATGACATGTTTAATGTTGTTTGTTTTTTTTTTTCCAACCGACTTTTTTTTCTATCCGCATTTTTCCATCCGCAATTTTTCATCCGTATTTTTCTATCCGCATCCGCCATCCGCATCTATCCGGTCCACGTTTTATAGAGACCGCTTCACAGGTGTACAGTCAAGAAATCACGACTCGCGGTTTTGTTCATTAGGCAGCACTTTCCAATCGCTCTCTGTAGTGGAGAATTTAGCAAAAAACGTGAATACCAATTCGATCCAAGTTAATGTGCAAAAGAAAAATCTGTCACTCTAAGTGTGTTAGTCGATTTTGAATGTCATTTGTACCAGAAATAACACCGTACTTCCCTTAAATGTTTTCAGATGTGCAACATTGGAGACTTTTTTACTAAAGTGCTCCTGACTTCAAAACACAGGGGAGCTTTTGAGTTGGCCTACACTGGATTTGTGAAACTTTGCACAGTATTGTGGAGGTATAATACTGCACATCCAAAAGCATTTAATTTATGAACTAAGCGAACTTGTTATGTCGGATCGATTTTCAATTGAGTTTTAAAAGTAATCTGGGATTGGATTGATTTTGCTTTAATTTGCTTTGTTATTGGTCCAGAAAACTCACACCACCATCTCAACCAATCAGATCCGACTTGGTCACCCGTGTTTTCCCGCGCTTTGGACATTTCCCGCGCTTTTTGACATTTTCCCTCGCCCTGATTAGTTGTTGTGCGTACCTTGGTTCTGGTTTCACGATGCACAATCGAAAAGCGCTGTAGGTAGGAGCAATTAACTCAAAATAACTCGTATTATTTCTTTATCGATACCTGTGTCAAATACGTATCAGAATGAAAAAACATGTAAATAAGAAAGATGAATTTTTCTTTGTCCCACGTAGGAGTAAAGATACAGAACTGCGCCAATTACCAGCGCAGTGGCTACAGACATTATTAACGGATCTTACGAGTGATTCCCCTTCAGAGGCTTTGTGTGGCACAAGACGAAGTGCTGGTGTGCCTTTCTTTATTCAAGTAAGTTCTGTTATGTCATTACATATTAGTTTTTGTAACATATTTCTAACATCGTCACGGAATCACCATTTATTGGGCTTGTAAGTTTTGCAGCCTCTTGTTGAACTCTTCTTCGGTATGTTTTGACCCTGGGAACAAAGTTGGTAGCATTTGTGAGGAAATATTGTTTAACCTCAGGTTGACCGAGGTGCGCATTATACTAACGAGAGAAATGTTTAGGCTGACCCAACACGCAATGTACCTTTATGTAAGCAGATCGTTAATAATCCAATCGGGGCGTGGTCGTGAAACCTGCCTTTTTTCGAAGCAACGTATTCCAGAACTTAAAGACTGGCTAAGGTCAAATATTTCTTGTCGGAGGCTGTTATCCATACAGGCTAATCTAACGAGAGCTAGGTTTGTTGCACAGCGTTCATTTACAGATACTTTGTGCTGTAGGCTATTGTAACAACTGAACCGTCTGCTGCTGCAAATAACTGCTTCAGACAAGTCATGGCTGGTAAGACACTCCATGTACAAATTTTCTCGTATTTTTTTTTCTCTTATCTCTTTTTCCGTTTTTCGAGAAAAAACTTTGAGCTTCGAGCTCTTGGCTCAAGATTTTGTTGTGTGTAACAGATCTGGTTTCGGAGTTCTTAAGAACCTCATGTGTTTTTTTTTTTTCCCTTAGAGTTATTACAGGTTGCTGCTAATCTTATTGACAGTTCCAGTATTTCCGATTCAACCCTTCCACAGGTTTGCTTTAAACAACTGAAATTCAGTTTTAGTTATATTCGAGTAACAGAAACTTACGATATAGTTTTATCACACCTGTGTCCTTCCCAGGTTCACGCTTGCAACATCCTCCGCGCTCTGTATCGTGACACCAAACTTGGTGAGGCCGTGTTTCCTTTTGTGTCTGATGGGGTTGTTGTGGCTATTGATGGATTCCTCTCAGAAAGTTGGGCTGTAAGTACTTATTTCTTTGCCAATGGTCTACATTTCTGATCCCATCATTGGATGGTATTTTGATATTTACAGTAATTGATCTTCATGATTAATTAACGTAGGTACGGAACTCGTCTACAATGCTGTTTAGTGCACTGGTGACAAGAATATTTGGAGTGAAACGAGGAAAAGATGAACATTCAAGAAAGAACTGGTAAGAAATTAAAATCGTCAATTTTTGGTTCAGGCTTACAAATTGAAATAAGGATGTGCTCTTTTGATTCAGTTCCCTCCTGTTGCTTCCTTGCTTGAAAGCAATTTCCTTCAGTCACCTGTCATACGAAAACAGATTGGTAGCCCTGGATCAGTGTGTGGTGTAGAGCGCCTTTCGATGTAATCAAGGGTTTCAAGAGCAACTTAGTGGTGTTCAAACTGATTGAAGTAAGGGATCAACGAAGTAACATGAATTGGAAAAGACCTCAAAATGCAGGAGAATGCTACTGCATAAGTCTAGCACTTCAATATTCCTCTAACGAGAGCCCGAACCTCCCTAGGAACAGAAGGCCCCTTATGCCTTCAAAACTACCCGCCTGCTATTCTACACTTAACAAATGGTAAACACCACAGCGTACACTATTGAGTTATGGATGCACGCGGGAGGTTGCTAAGCACGAAAGAAGCGTAAGAGTCGCTCGAGGCGATAGCCGAGAGCGACTCTAGCTTGTTGAGTGCTTAGCAAACCTCCCAAGTGCATCCATAACTCAATAGTGTACGCTGTGGTGTTTACCATTTGTTTTATAACATAACATTGATACATTGTAGCTTAAGAGTTCCCTTTTACTTAACAAATCTTGCGTGACCAGAAAAAACAATCGCGCGCGGAAAAATAGTCTTTGCATTTGCTCACGTCAGCAGCGTACACCCATGGGCAAATGGGGGACGCTAAATTGACCAATCAGAGGGCGCGCTTTACTTTGGTTATGTTATAATAGCTATTTGTACCGTATTTCGACGAAACCACTGGTAAGGTGGCTGTAAACATCTTATAGTGAGTAAATGAGATAAACAGTGCTCAATGATAAAAACGTTGAGGTCGATAGGCCTGGTGCGTCAAGAAAATAAAGGACAATAAGTTGGAGCAGTGCGAACTCTTAACGTATCACTACTCTGCTGAAAACGGGATATTTTTGTTACCTCAAACTTCTTAGTTACAGAATTAGATCTTTACGTGCACAACTCTTGCAAATGTTTGGTTGTATGTTGTTTGTTTCAGTATGACAGGAAGAGAGTTCTTCTCCAGATTTCCAGAGCTCCATTCATTCTTCCTCAGTCATTTACAAGTTGCTTGTCAAGGAATTGAAAGGTTTGGTGTTGCTTATTTACTTGAACCTGCTATTTTTCTGCTGCATGAATCAGCAGTAGTGTACTGTAAACTGGAAGCATCAGATACTTACTCCTAAAACCTTTTTTTTTTAGTCGGGAATAAATCTCTATAGCAAATATATCGTTAACTATCTTGTTTCATGCTCACAGGGACACCATCCGCGCTAGCCTTCATCCGGTACTTGTTATGTTGGCTCGTCTGTATCCATCACCTATGGATGGTGTTGACTCTACACTCAATATGGCGATGTTTGTACCTTTTGTGATCAGGTGATTCTCAATAAATGTTTTACATTTACCAATGCTTTAAAACTGTCAAGATAAATAACTGCATATGGTTGCCATTTCTTGGTAACTGGTCTTCTTGAGGTCTCTTTACACCATAACATTCTAAATACTCTCTTGTTTCTCAATTCCTTATTTGGTACGTTTGAGCTTGTCATTCAAAATTTATTATTTATTTTTGATGGTATAGTCGATTTCCTATCGAGGGGATATATTTTTCTTATTTGTTATTTGAATGCTGCAAAATCTCTCAATATAGAGTGATTTCAGTTGAGATTCGAAAGAAATCCGAGCTAAGGCTAAGCAGTATTCTTTTTAGTTGTAGAAAAAGTTTGGTTATCAAAACCCGGGTAATGTCAGCACGCGCCCTTGTTCCGCTGGTGTCCGGTGATCTGTTAGTTCAAACTCTGCAAGAGCTTCTCTTGTCTCTTCCAGTGAGGTAAGTAGAACAGATGGCAGCAATCTTGTTCATGATTTTTTTCAGCCAGCAAAGGTAAAAATGAATGACAAGGAACACTTGAACGCGATTTTCTTGATTCCAGGGAGTCATTCTACTGTGTCAAATATGCATGGCCATCCAATCAGTTGCATAAACTTCTTTAAGCAACGTTTGTGTTATGTTTTCGGTAGTTTTCAGTTTTTTCCTTCAAAATTACTGTGTCCTTGGTGATTTTAAAAATAATTTTCTACCAGATGTGTTCTCCATTGTGCCCTAAGTTCACCTTCAGTCTAGTACCCTTTCTTTACTATTCTTTCAATTTGTTGAAATTCGTTCGGATGTAAGAATTCTTTCGTAGAACATTTCTTTTTAATAACTTACCAGGTTCATTCTCACTTTACAGCTCTTCTGGTGTTGTAAGACAGAATCCTATTCATGGTACTCTACTCCATGTAAGTGTAAAACAGTAAACTCGCTTTTGACCCACAGAGACCAAAACTCTATTGCTTTTTTGATATGTCTGGCTTGCATAAGTTTGTTCGTGAGCCGGGAAGACCGATTCTAGTTCACGAAAACGAGGCTTAGATGTCATGAGCGATAAACGCACTTGTCATTACTGCTGTTTTTCCAAAAAGATTTCTTTATTGCAGAATTTTACTTGTAGTGGCACAAAAACAAGTAAACTCAACCACTGTTATAATTTGGATATATCAACAAAGTTGAAATGGTAAATTGGCCACCGTAATGATTACAAAAGCTGACGTTTCGAGCGTTAGCCCTTCGTCGGAGCGAATAGAGGAATTGTGGGTTGTGTGTGCTTTTAAAGGCAGAAAATGGAGCTACGTTATTGGTGGGTGCATGGCAACGAGAAAAACATGAATAAATTAGTGGAATGAAAAGCGTTCATTGATCCCTGTGGGATTTAGACTGCCGGTTTGAAAGATGAGCTTTTGTTCAAGATTTTTACGGCTTTCCGTGCCACCTAAGTGCAAGGAAAGACCGCAGATTGCCATATGTTGCTTAGAATGATTAGGTAAATTAAAATGTCTAGCGACTGGTTTCGATGTGTCCTTGTCATTCCTTTCCACGTCTCGAAGGTGTTNATGCAACATTGTCCGCCACAATTAAGGCGAAGATTGTCACTGATGTCCTTCCTCAGCTGAAGCATTCTGCCTGGCTTGGCACAAGGTACGTCGCTGGATTCTGAAGTAGTAAGCGACAAGGAGCATATATGCTCCCCCTGAATGGAATGCCTGTCCATAGCCGGTCCCCCAATCCCCCTTTGCGGTTTTTTTTTCTGGTTTCCGTGACAGTTTACCGGCATCCAGTACTCATGGTTTGAGAGAGGTACTGTGCGGTGAAAGTGTCTGGCTCAAGAACACAACAAAACCTTACTTCGCGTATTATTTATTGTCCATCAAATCTTGTTCTGTTCTCTTGCCGTATCTTAAATGTATTAATTTGTCTAGAATTTTGAATCTCTTGCTCTGTAAATCTTTTTATTTCATAATATACTTATTAAAGACTGCCCACCTCGATTAGCCTTTGCTAACTGCGGGCATAGAAAATCAAAGTTATTTTAATAATAATAATAATAATAATAATAATAATAATAATAATAATAATAATAATAATAATAAAACTTGTGTAACTTGTAACTTAATATTTTATGAACTCGGGCCTAAGTATTCCTTTAATTTGCTACCGAGATTTTATATAATCAGAGCTAAAAAATATTTTACTAAAAACTTTATAATAAAAAGTTACTTGCAGATACTTGCATACATCTTGGTTTTTCTGTAGTGGAAATTACGTTTCGGTATATCTCATAATTTCCCTTTAAGACTCTCTCCTGATTTGTCCTTTTTCGTCTTTTTCTCTTGCAGATCCAACCCCTGTGCAGTGTCGAGGTCAGTTTTCTTGGACATTGTCCTTCATTTTGTAGTGGACTGGTCTTGGATCAATCTCCCAGGTATTTTTTCAAATACTATTTTACTCAAAACTCCTTTTTGACGTTAATAATATCTTAAGGGTACATTAGCGTATCGGCCCATCTGTTTTCAGACAGCGTAGTCAACGTATTTAAGTTAACCTTGATCACCTCGACCTTGTCATAACGTCTTGAGATATCTACGCTGATCGACATGATCACGAACATTAAAAAATTTATCCACGAAAAGTAACATTTTAAGATATGCACACTAAATATACACTATTTATGGATGGCTTTCTGTATTGCTTTTATTTCAGACGCATCGAAGAATGGGTTGCTAAGGCTGAAGCAATGGTTTGAAAATGTAGCGATCGAAGAAACCGTAAAAATTCCATCGTCCTCAGCTGTCATTGGAGACGTGTTTGTAAAGAAGTCTGCAGCCGAGATATTTCTCAAAGCATGCGAGGAGTTACCATCCGCTCCAAACAGCGAATGCCACATACCAGTAACATCGAAGGCTCAGGGTGATAACCAGGGTTTTGATGAAAACTTGGTTACCAGGGCCAGTTGTTTTGAAGTGATTCAACATCTTTTGCAGTCTACAGAATATGAAGTGCGACTGGTTGTTCTACAATTCATCGTCTCTCACTTGCCCTCTGAAGAGAACACTGGCTTTGGAACTAAAGATGAATTGAAAGAGAATGCACCTAATGACAGAGAACATCGCTGGATATTTTTGGAACTTGAGGAAAATACAAAAAGCCAGCTGTTTACAATGGCTATGAATTTAGAACATCATAATGATTGTTTGGTACAGGTAACGACTCAGGAAATGTCAGAATATCTTGAATCGTTGTGTACGACGCACATAAATCCGTCGAGCACAAAATATTATGCTTTTCAGAATGAACAAAAGTTTCTCGGGAGGTATAGGAAGCTATCACAGCTACTTTAGTTGCTGGTGCTGTTGCTGAGCCGTCTAGAACACAAAGCTATCTGTAATGTAGATAGAATTCTGTTTCTCGAGCACAAGACGCTTTAGTAATTAGGAATGGCGTGCGAGGGAAGACGAGCGGGGCGTGGTTACGTTACAGTGATAAAACTTTGTAGTGGTTTTTAAAAGTCAGTTAAAACAACCGTAATTTTTATATCTACCGACAAAACCTTTTGACTTTTCACAGTTAGAGTAACATGCTAGTGCTGGACAGATAATGACTTTCTTCGTGTTTGTTTTTTTACTAATTACTTGTAGCGTTTTATCTAGCAATGTATTTTTTTTAATTAACAGGTCTTTCAAGCCTTATACAAACTTCCAGACTCCTTATCTTTCCCTTGGAAACTTTCTTCAGAGGATCTAGTGACGTGTTTTCAGGTAGGGGAATATTCATTGAAACAATTTGATCAAAAGGGGATGAATTTCCCATTTGAAAGACAAAGCTATTAAAAGTCAGGTTGGGTTGAAAATTTATCGTCATGGCTAAGCCAAAATCCTCAGGTTTTTTGTTTGAATGAAAGTTTTGTGTTGGTTGTTAGTATTTAAGCTATTTCTCTGGACGTGGTGATATGGATAGTTATAGCTCTACCAAACGTACATTCTTGATTTAATTGTTAAACAACCTTGTGCAATACGTACTCAGAGGAAACTGTAATTTTCTTCTTTAGTGCTGGAAATTTGTTGCAGACCTTGTCACCTCACCTGGTCAAAGGTAAATAAGACGTCATACTCTTGGAGTTAACAAAACTGAGTGAGTTATGGTATCCTCAGCTCCATGAACTCAATCATTTCATTTTCAATGTAAATTTCAACAAACAAAGCTTAACTTGAGTGGCAACGCAGCGAGTGGTCATAATTTGACAGACTTAAGCCTTTGATACTAATACATTTAGTTTTATATAGAATTGACATCGTTGTTGTTAATGTAGCTCAATTTTCATGAACTGAGGAATCTTCTAGAGAGAATAAGGAAGATGATAAATATCGAGCTCGGTATTAACTCTCACGACACCAACAACACTGCTAACCCAAGCAATACGCAGAACGCTTTTCACGTGTGAAACTAGTGATGGCCTCGCTCATCATAGAGTTCTCTACAGTTCAGCTGTCGGTCATCGGAACGCAAAAGGTCTAGGCTTTAGTTACTGGTGGAGGACCTAGATTTTTAATCGGTCTCATGTCATGCACGTGACTAAACGAATAACAGCTTCCTTTGGTGGAGAAATCAGGAGGCGATGTAGACCTCCTTTCCCTCTTCCACTTTGCTAAAACTTTTTGCAAGATAATTTCTTTATTTCTTTAGGGATGCCCTCAAGTGCTCATTGCTGAAGTTTTTGTCAAGAATGGTTTCTGTAGTACATGGAATGATTAAGAATGAGGTAACCCCGACATATGCAAACTGAACATTTTAGTTGTAGAGGGCTTCTGCTCATCCCAGTTTAGGTGTCTGTGACTGAGCAAAGGATAGTTTTAACTTACAGTAATTACTCGAAAAAGCACCACGTCCTCTCGACATCACTTTGGTGCGTGATCCAAATTTTCAAGTTTTAAATTAGTTTACATTCATTCCTGGCTTTTATTGATATTATGGTCTTCGATAAGAGCCTCTAATCTCTACATAACTTGCTTTTGTTACAAGTCGAAATCTCATACTTATCGTAATATTGTATTCAAATAACAAACAAAAAACAATACTCATACATTGAATACTGTATACCACGTGCGCAGGAAGAGACCAGGGGAAGACATGATTAAAACGTATTTTACGTTACTCTTTAGGACACAACCATTGCAATGGAAGCATCAGAAGCCCTAACACAGTTCTCCAACATAACTTTTCATACAAGTTCACCTTCTGAAAGAATGGAGCTGCGGCTCTGCACAGCGCAAGTCCTAGCCCATACAACAGTTATTGGTGTAATGGTAGATTTACGTACCACACAGAGTGAGTAGGGCAAATTACCTTTGTTATTTCGAGTTTCAAAACATCAGGATTGCATATCCAGGTATATAGCGTTGCATGCGACTTAGTTGTTTTGTTTGCGTAAAGTACAGAAACGACATGTTAAGGTGGAATATACACAGTCGCGTTTGTGTTGTACAACCTCAACCCTGGGAACGAGGTTGTGTATTGTATTGCGGCGAGGTGTGTGTTGGGTGTTGTGAGGGGGAGGGGGTGAGGAGCGTTGATATTGTCTATGATGAGGATGTGAGGAGCGTTCAACTTGTCTTTGATGTGGGTGTTCTCTTTTCTTCAAGGTGACGCACGCTTTCGTCTGTGGACTGTTCTTATAACTCTTCTTCAGGATGATGAACCTGTGGTCAGAGAACAAATGGCTCTCGGATTTTCTATTTTGTTACAAGTAATAGAGACCTCGACCGCGGGTAAGTGAAGAAATTGTTAGTAATGCAACTTTCAATTTTGTTGTTCAGTGGACAGTCAAATGACCAATTCGAATTCCCGAAGAAGTTTTTCTCGCCTACCGTTTCTGCTTCTTGTTTGTTTGTTCGTTCGTGCAGGAAGGGTAACCTCATCACCCAGAGAAAAATAAAACCAGGTTGAAAAGAAAGGAAACAACAACAAAGTTAGCCCATATGTGACGTCAGGGTTGGAAATAGGACCCAGGCCTCCGCGGCTAGAGGCGAGCTCTGTGATCTCCTTTCTTAATTTAGTTTTCTGAAAACCCACTTAGAAATTTTTTTTTTGTGTTGCAGTTTGTACATTACCCTTTGGAAGTTTTGCCGTAGTGGCCACTCTCTCACTTGAGAATGCCTTGTTTTGTGTCTGGTCGTTGTTCTTTGATGAAGAACCCATGGCTTGTGTGTTATGGATGTTGGACTGGATTTGTGGCGACCTTATTCGTGACAGGGAAAACTCTGATCAGGCAATTCATATATCAGACATGGATCGTCTCTTTGTGAAAGGACCTCTCAACAATTACTCCGAGGATTGTGTTGTGACGCGAGTGGCCTGGGAAACTGTGAAGAATGGAATGGAACGGAAAAACGGATCTGCTCTCTGGTTTCTTCAGCAACACAAATCAACATTGACTGTCTCTTTGAGGGACCAGTTGGAAAAGTGTCTCTCGTTCCTTGAGAATCTCATGTTTAATAACTGGAACATTACTGCAAATTTTAGTTACTTTTATAGAGGATTTGTTGGAATTTCTGTAATCGCCTTGTTATTAGAAAGACTGGAAAAAACCATTGCTTCTCCGAAGAAGAACAGAATTGATGCAATAGTTCGTGCAGTTAAAAAACCTTGTGATACTGGAGGAATTTTGTCTCATCCAAAGACGAAAAAGAGCCTTGAGGAATTAAGTGAATTTCTTACTTTGAATTATTAGAAATACGCAAAGCATTTGTGTGACACGACATACAATCGGATGCTTGAATATAATAAAACCAGAGATGTTTTAAGATACGATCTACTGTCGTTGCTGTACCATATACATATATATATATATACCTGTTACAAAATTTCTTTTCAGTCGTTCTTTGGGATATCCCGCTGCCCTGTCCCCACATAAAAAATGCTCATCCTCAATATAGTAGTAGTAGTAGTTGTAGTAGTTCATTTATTTGTTTAAGCAGGTTGATTTATTTGGCAGCTGTAATAGCTGATGTGGACCTGCTGTCCTAACCCACCCAACCCACCCCAGGGGAGGACATCCATCACACAGTAATCTCGTGTGTGGGAAATTAACGTCTCCTGCCCCAACCCTGCAGGAGACGGGACCTCCATTTATTCGTCCCTATCCGAGAAGACTAGAATATCTAACCATTTCTTGATGTTATAGAAAGGTAGCAAATTCTTCTCAATTATTTTAAGACCTTGAGTGTTGGTCCGGCCGGGGCTCGAACCCTCGACCTCCCGCACAACAGTCCAGCGCTCTATCCATTGAGCTAACCGGGAGGCTAAAAGAATATAAAAATAAAGATGTGAAGAAGAAAGCGCTATTACTTAGAATGTTACTACATTGCGATCTTGAACACTGATGAACCTCAACAAAATCGATTTTGGACGGTTCTGTCCGACCTCGGACAGTTTCGTCCGATTTCGGCCGCTTCCGTCTGATTTCGGTCACTTCCGTCCAAGTCTGGACGTTTCTGACCAACTTCGTACTCATCTGTCTAATGCCAGACAGTTGTGATCAATTTCGAACTCGTCCGCTTGGGCCGAGTTACCCTTGGGAACAATTGAGGGACATTTCAGGTAGTCTTATACAAACTTTTAGAAAAGGCTGAATAACAAGAGGCGAACAAACGTTTAGCAAAAGGTAAAGTAGATCAGGGTTCTCTGGAAAATACAAAAACGGGTTCCAAAAAAGGCTCCGTGGAAAACATGTTTGACTACGACGTCGTGTTACTGGATATTGAAGGAACAACGACGCCTATTTCGTTTGTCAAGGTACTAGCAAAGAATGATCTTTCGGTTTATGTATTAAGCACACTTAATAAGCGTGCGTATTCTGTCAGTAAGAAATAAAATTTGGTCAAGCATGCATCGGATTGAATTTGTAATCCTCGAGAAAAAACAGCAAGAATAGTCGCTCATGCTATGATATGGGCGTACTGGTAAATTTGCTTGATGTGAATCAATGTTTTCAGAAGCATCAAGTTCGCGTGACGCGGACAACAGGTGATTCTGATCGATGTGTAGCCCCCCCGGAAGGGGATGATTGGACTGGATTTGAAAACCCCGGTTCAGATAATGTACTTGAGACAACATAAGACTTATTTCTTACAATACATCCAGCTTAGAAATGATGATGAGTTTGCTTCTATTTCGTTCTACAGGATATTCTTTTCCCGTATGTTAGGGACAATGTACGGGATTTTTTGGAGAAATATTGGGGAACAGATCAGTGTAGGGTGGATGTGGAAGCCTTGAGAAATCAGGTATACATAGAAGTTTCTTGTTTTGTGTACCCTGCATATCGGGTAGGTGTGTTTGAAAGGCGTATGTTAAACGAAGTCGAAATAGCTTTTAGACTTGCGCGAGATGCATTAATGTGTCAGTAGAAGGGGTTTTCTAAATTTGACAATGCCTCCAGAAGGAAAGCAAACGGCCAACTGGTTATTCAAAAATATTCACTGAACCGAGGCAAATAATTGTGCTATAGTATAGAAAGTTTGCTGTCTGGCAAATTTAATTTGTTACCCTAATCTCTCCACACAGAAAGTATAAACAACTCACAAGGTACAAGTATTAATAATTAAGTTATTCAGACTGAAAGCTTGAACTGTATGTGCACAAAATAGATTAATTTTTCATTTTCACTGTTACTTTATTAATTCAAGGCAAAGGAAGACAAAGATATGGAAGATGTTGTTTTAATTCCAGATGAAGAGGAGAATCTATCCCAAGAAAATTCTGGGGCAAGGTACATTATATCAAAATGGATACTTCAAGTGTTACATTAGAGCACCGTCAAATATCCACCAACGGCCATCTCTCCACAACAGTTACTTACAAACTGTCCATGTTAGTGGCCTCAAAAGCAAATTCCAACAAGCTCAGTTCTGCCCTGCTACCTAAACTTTAGCTTTGAAAAGAATCATTCTTTGCATGCTGTTAATTGGCAAAGTTGTAAAAAGTTGTTGTTCAGTAGCTTGTAGTTGTGGGAAACATCCAAAACCATTTACAGAACTCACCCTTCATCTGTGTTATTTTAGTAAGGAAACTATCGTGGATGCTGTTGTTGCTAATGTCATCTGGCAGATGAATTCAGATCGAAAAACAACTGCCTTAAAACAACTTCAGGGCCACATTTGGAGAAAAGCATTTGATGATGGTGTTATAAAAGGAGAGTAAGTAACTTAATGTTCCATGTTGTTGCTAAAAGTTGCTCAATATGAAGACAATTACCTTTTGTTCTAAACTACCAACATATTTCAGTTTTTTGTAGCATTTTGAAGTTTAAGAAGTTTATGACTCTGTCGCAAACCTCTCTATACCTAGTACAGTAAGGGTATTTTACCTATTTAATTAAATTCTTGGTTTAATCAAAGTGTGCCCTCCTGCTTCACCACAGAGTGTTTGATGATGTTGTTACAGCTTTCAAGAGATGGACTTCAAACAAAATCAAAATTTATATTTACTCATCTGGAAGCACAGACTCTCAAAAGCTTCTGTTTGGTAATTCCAAGTGTGGGAACCTTTTACAGGTTGGTTTACCTTAAAAGTTCATAAAGTTAAAAACAATGATTTAACTCTCCATATCTTAACATCAGTATGCATATTCTCTCTACTGTTCTCTATATTGTTCTCTCTTTGCAAGGCACGGTGGCCTCATGGTTAGTGCGCTTGACTCCAGATTGAGTGGTCTGGGTTTGAGCCCTGGCCCGGGACATTGTGTCGTGTTCTTTGGCAAGACACTTTACTCTCACAGTGCCTCTCTTCACCCAGGAGTAGAAATGGGTACAAGCTAATTTAATGCTGGGGGTAAACTTGTGATGGACTAGCATCCCATTCAGGGGTGAATAGAAATATTCCTAGTTGCTTCATGATATGGAAACTGGATATAAGCGCCATCCCCATGGGCCACTTGGCTCTTAAACAGGCTTTACCTACCTGTTTTCTATACATTTAGTAAAGTCCTGACAAGGAGAATTTGTTTAACAATCAAGAGCTTTTTTAGTTGGTGATCCTTTCCTTTATTCTTAAAAGCGCAATAAAGAGAAAACTCTTTGACTGGAAAAAGAAGATGATTATAGAAAGAATTGCTGATATTAGAGTACAATTCTCAAAATTATAACTGTGTGTACTTCCAGTATATACTACAGTCTGCCCTCCTGTTTCATTAGATGTCTATAAGCCACACGGCAAACTAGATTTCTTTTATGATTGTTCGTCTTTATATTATAATTATACATATAAATATTCATTTTCTATAGAATTCTTTTCTTTTTTTTTTCTTTTTCACTCTTGTGCCTGCCTCGAATAGCCCTAGGTACTTGCAGGCCCAAGCATTGTAATAAATTTGTTGTTGTTGTTGTTGTTGTTGTTGTTGTATTCTCCTGACCATACTATGTGATTTACAAGTGATATAGTAAGGAGAAATTAGATGCTGGTCACTCTTGGTGCTCAAAGGGTAAAAGTACTGTAAATATGGAGAGGAACTAGCAGAGTGATTGAATTTTGCTTTCCTGTTGTTTGACAGTATCTAAGTGGACACTTTGACACCTCAGTTGGAGCTAAAATTGAGTTGCAGAGTTACAAGAAAATTGCTGATGCAATTGATATGAAACCCTCAAGAATTCTTTTTGTCACTGATGTTGTCAAAGGTATGTATTCCACTAATAGCAATAATAACCTTGATCACAGAAATTAAAAATATTTTTCTGCCATAGGTGTGGTGGGTTAGCCTTGCAGTAGGTCTCCTATGATGGGTCTTGATCTTTGATCTATGTGACCACTTCAAGGAAGGTCGGCGTGAAAGGCTCAGTGTTAAGTTGAACTTACAGATGAACCTGGCAGGGGTCTTTAAAGTGAGCTGAACTGCTCATCAGTTAACAGATGCTGTTGTAAAGCCAGAATTATAACTATTATTTTTGCTTTAATTAAAAATTAGTGTCTTCTAAAAACACACAGAATTTCAAGATGAATTGACATAGATGAAATGCATCCCCCTGCAAAGCTCCCCTTCTTTTTTTTTTTTAATCAGAAATTATGCCTAAAGTAAATCTCATGATATCCATTTTCAAAATTAATCTTTCACAATAGGAATACTGAATGACACTCACTATCTAATAAACTTGAATAATTTAAGCTTCAAGTGAATGCCTTGTTGTAATTTTACCCTATAACTCCCAAGATCTGATGGTTAATTCTCCCCTCTAGGCTCTAGCTGCTACACATTTTTTAATGAATTAGTTATCAGAATTTTGTGCTAGTTTCAAGATAACAACTTCTACCTTCATAGTTTGACTTTTTGCTGGATAGTGTATCATTATTATTGGGAGAAGTTACATATTAACCAACTGTGGGAGTGTAAGGGTTGATTTCATTTATTTCTACCCAGAATCAAGAGCAGCCTTTAAGGCAGGATACAAAACTGCTATCAGTGTTCGGCCTGGCAATGCACCATTGACAGAAGAAGACAAAAGGGACTTTAAAGTGATATCTTCATTTGACGAGTTATTTGAAGACACAGAAGAGCTGAGTCGTGCAAAAAGGAAATCAAAAGTTACTGATTGATAATTATTTCAGTGCACTTTTCATAACAAAGAACAGAATGATTGTGGCAGGGATCAGAAGGGAGTTAAGACAGTTGAAAGGCACTGAGCATGTCAGTCACAAGACTGTATCTGACTCATTCTCAGTCCTTTGGGAAGCATGTAAGAGGTGAGGTGTGTGCAAGGGAAGATGGGAAGGGGGAAAAGGGGGTTGACTCTCTACTCCCTCCTCCCCCTGTTTTAGTGACCCTTCCACATCTGTAGTGACTGACTGACCATGACTGTGTATGAAAAATAGGTAACCATAGAGGGGAAGGGGGGAGGGGTCAGAGACTGCATTCAAACTGATGACGCGAATGCAACCAACTGAATGCTGAATTTTGTCAACAACAGGGTGATTAGATCTGATTCATTGGTAACCACCCTAATTTACTAAAAATCTGGTTACATAAAAGTGAAATTTAATTGTTGCATGACTGGTTAAGTATATCTTAACTTGTTTTTGGGATGAACAATTTGTAGACATTTGAATAAATCATTCTGCAATGCTATTGTGGAGGGAACCTGGTGCTGAGAGTTCTGTAGCCAACACCAACCATCACTTTAGACTAAGATTTTTTTCTGTGGTGTCTCAGGATTTTTTTGCCAGCATCTAATTAAAATTGTCTAAACCAGGATTTACACCTGATTGATGAGGATTACCTCCAAGGTGCTCTGCAGTGCCATCGCAGTTGCCTTCTAGTCTCCCTAGATGTCTCAATGTTCAGATGCCTCCCTCACTTGAAAAATTACCATTAACTTGATACACCCCGATTCATGCTTTCGATGTGAAGCGTTACCAAAGTGTGAAGGTTACTGATGTATAGAGACCCATTTATTTCTGGACTGGTTGATAAAGGAAAAAAAATGCAAAACAAATAGATTGATTGTTCTAAATATGAAATGAGATTTGAGAGTTGAAGTCGTAACGAAATGTTACCTACAATTCGTATGGCAATCGATACATCTCTGTGTGTTCCTTTGATGTCTTCAGTTGATCCTTACACAGGTAGCCCAAGCTCTCTTTAAGAACCACACAAGAAACACAATTTGCATATTGATTTATAAGGATGTATGGGATTTTCTACAAGATATCCATAGAGATAGTTAAAAGTGAAAATATTAAACAGAAATGGCTTACCTTATTCTATACGTGTGTTGTTTGCTCCTGGTCTTGTTATTTTACTGATTTAACTTGATTTAAGTGGTAAATCAGTAAAATAATGACACCAGGAGCAAACAACACATTTATAGAATAAGGTAAGCCATTTTTATTAAATATTTTCACTTTTAACTATCCCCATGGATATCTTGTAGAAAATCCCATACAAATCCTTATAAATCGATATGCAAATTGTGTTTCTTGTGTGGTTCTTAAAGAGAGCTTGGGCTGCCTGTGATCCTTATACAAGTGTTGAACTCGTTGCGTGCTGTTTAAATAAAAAAAGGGGGGTAATTGGTCCCCAGATTCCCTGGGATAACATTCTGGCACCAAAAAACGGGGTAATTACACTAGAGGTTATTTATACGAATAACACACTGAAAACTATTATTACACTAAGCGCAAATCACACCCCTTCCCCTACCCAATGGGATCTGGACCCCCTGTCCTCTGTTTGCCTTTTAAGAAAACGTTGATGCTTGTATCTATGAAGGGAATTTTTGTTTGTAATCAAGACAAACACCTCATGGTTTTCAGTTTGTTTATTTCAAGTACCCACATTTTTTGTTATTAAAACATGTTGATCCCCAATTGTGCTAGGAATGTCTCCCATCATGCCGGTAACTACTGTCAAAATCACACAGCCTCAGAAATCTGGCCAAAGAATGTCACTGATTGGCTGTGGCATTCATTTCTCAACAGCCAATCAGACACTGAGAAGAATCCATAGTCAAAGGGCCAACCTTGTTTCCAGGGTCCTCTCTCATTAGGGAGGAAGAGAGTGGACACTGGGAATGAGGTTGCCTTAAGGCCGCGTCGTGCAGGACTGAAATATTACGTGTGATGAGGTAGGGTTTAAGGTCAAACCCTTTATAACTTTGCCGTATTGATTTGTTCTTTCTCGCGATTTCTCAGCAACCGACGAAGTATCTTTCCGCTCGGTGATTTTGGTATTTCATCAATAAACTCCACACCACCCCTAAGCTTTTTCTGTGGTATAACTCTTTTAGCCACAAATTCCATTATCTCCCCTGACGTCACATCACCCCTACGAACTATGAAAGCCTTCGGGAGCTCTCCGGCTTCGAGATCGGGGACGCCAATGACAGCCACGTCGTCGACGTTTGGATGGGAAATCAATAAAGCTTCCAGTTCGGCCGGTGGAACCTGGAGTGCGGTGAGGAAGACAAAACAGATCTAGTTAATGACCTGATTTACGTTACTTAACGTACAGGAACTTCATATAAAAAGTAAATTAATATTACTGCAAGCTTTTTCTTCTGAGTTGCTGAACTTGCCTGAAATCCCTTGTACTTAATAAGTTCCTTAATTCTATCGACAATAAAGAAATATTCATCGTCATCATAATGCCCAATGTCTCCTGTGTACAGTCAGCCATCACTGTCAATTGTCTTTGCAGTGGCTTCTGGGTCTTTTGTATATCCTGAAAGAGAATTCCGCCAAATTAAGCCTACAAAACTGGCGAATTTTTTTTAAGTATTTTAACGCCTCCGTTCGACTGACAAACACAAAAATTTCTTTTTCACTTCTGTCATTAACAACAGATCACTTATCAAGCTGTCTTTGATGTACTTGTAATAAAATTCTCACCCATCATAACTAAGGGTCCTTTGACGCAGATTTCCCCATTCTGGTTTGGACCGAGAATCTCCCCAGTTTCAGGATTGATGACCTATTGACATATATAAGAAAGCAAAGTAACAATACTAATGTTAAATCTCATTCACTAAATAGGATTTATGGAGTTGTGTTGATGAGATAAGCCAGTGCTTGCGTAATCTTCCATAGAGACGCTATCGATATTGGATAAGCTCACCTTACAATGCAGGTTTGGCATTAGAAGCCCGACGGACCCAAATTTGGTTTTACCTTCCGCTGGAGTGCAATGGGATGCTCCACAGAGTTCTGTCATACCGTAGCCTACGATAAAAAAATAAAAAAAAATGAAAAAAAAGAGAAAAAGAAAAGAAAAGGGAGAAAAGATAGTCATGCAAATGTATAAACAGTATGTATAATTAATCACAAAGGCCAACTAACCATAATATGGAATTACAGTGGAATCCCGATTTCTCGAACCCTCGGTTTCTCGAACCTCCCGATATCTCGAACCAAACCTTGTTTCCCCTGGATTTACTTCACTTGCAATTTCACCCCCGATTTCTCGGACTCCCGATTTCTCGAACCAATTTGCGTTTCCCCTGGAGGTTCGAGAAATCGGGATTCCACTGTGAAACCGGTGTCTGCAGCAGTAAAATACCAGTGTTATGATTGAATTTGGGGGTCATGCGAGATCATTTTATTACTTTCTGAAGGGTGTTCACCTGTACCGAGGGACCCCATTAGATCCCCGCTCATTTTCGGGCCTTTCATGAGCGGACACCTCTCTCATGTAGACTCTTTGCCTTTTGCTAAGGTACGTTCCCCCTGGAAGTAATTCACACCGTGTTTATCTTTTTGGCCAAACTTTTCCTTCGTATTCTCACCCTGTCTTATTCTCTCGATTTGAGTAAGCCGTTTTAACATGGCTGTCTCCAGCTCCTTGCTAAGAGGGGCGGCCCCTGAGATCACACGCTCCAGGCTTGACAAGTCAAACTTGTCCACCAGCGGATGCTTAGCCAAAAACAGGATGAGTGGTGGAACAAGTGGGGCGTCTGTTACCTGTCACGGATAAACAGAAACGAGAAAAATTAGAGTCGCCTGGAAAATGACTCGGAATGCGCTAAGTAAGTTGTCTTCTACGAAATAAATAAATTCCCTGTGCGCTCCCAGAATGTTTACCTCTCGGTTTTAAATGAACGTTAACACTTCCACAGTGATCTTACGTGTGAGCCCTTTTTTTTTTCATAAGAGGCATTCGCAGCCTTCTTGGTTCCTTTCGTTCAAGTTTTGTATCGGGCTGAGGTCTACGACCATGTGCGGTACTCGTGGGCTACTAGGGACCTTAAGCTAACCACCACGGCGACGGCAGCGAGGACGTGGAAAAACAAAAGATCTAGTGGGCAGAACAATAGCTCAGCACGTGCGTTTTAAACTTTATACATTTCTTAGCCGTCCTTTACAAAACAACAACGTGAAATCACCAAAGTTTGCGTCGTCTGCGAACGGAAACCGCGACTGCAAATTATTGTAATTTCCATTTGGAACACAGCGCTGCTACCGTACGTTATAATTTGGATATATCAACAAAGTTGAAATGGTAAATTGGCCACCGTAATGATTACAAAAGCTGACGTTTCGAGCGTTAGCCCTTCGTCGGAGCGAATAGAGGAATTGTGGGTTGTGTGTGCTTTTAAAGGCAGAAAATGGAGCTACGTTATTGGTGGGTGCATGGCAACGAGAAAAACATGAATAAATTAGTGGAATGAAAAGCGTTCATTGATCCCTGTGGGATTTAGACTGCCGGTTTGAAAGATGAGCTTTTGTTCAAGATTTTTACGGCTTTCCGTGCCACCTAAGTGCAAGGAAAGACCGCAGATTGCCATATGTTGCTTAGAATGATTAGGTAAATTAAAATGTCTAGCGACTGGTTTCGATGTGTCCTTGTCATTCCTTTCCACGTCTCGAAGGTGTTCTCGGAATCGGTCACCTAGTCTTCTGCCTGTTTCGCCGATGTATATCTTTTTGCAATAAGTGCAAGTTATGCAATAGATTACATTAGCGGAGGTGCACGTGAAGTGATCGGTGATCTTAATGGATCGTTTAGGTCCCGATATTTTATCAGTGTTGTGAATGAAAGGACACGTTTTGCATCGTGCACGAGCGCATTTAAAAGTGCCTGGTTGCTCATTAGTCTGAAAAGAACTTCTGACCAAAAAATTGCCTAAGTTTTTGTCGCGTTTGAATGAAATGAGCGGAGGCTGCGAAAAGATAGTGC